CTGTGTGTTGTGTGCGAGGCGGAAGCTGTTGAGAGCTGGGTGTTGCGTTGGGCACCGAGGCTGGTGAGTATTTTGTGCTACGTTGGAGGCGGAGGCTGGAGAGTACAGGGCGTGACGTTGGAGGCGGCAAGGGGGCGGGCGAGCGTGCGGCGTCAGGCGAGCGGCGGGCGGTGGGCGTGCGGATCGGAATTTAAAAAGATCTCCAGGGGTTATCTGTTGCAGCGAGGTGCTGCTCAGTACTGGGTGTTGTATGGGGGACGGAGGCTCGTGAGTACTGGATGTTGCGTTGGAGACGGAGGCTGGTGAGTACAGGGGTGTTGCGTTGGAGACGGAAGCACGGCGAGCCGGCGACGGGCGGATCGGGATGCAAAGGGAATCGCTAAGGGTTCTCTCTTGCGGTGGGGTGCTGCTGAATGCTGGCTTTGTGTGGAAGACGGAGGCTGATGGGTCCTGAGTGTCGCGTTGGAGGGGACGGGAGCAGGGCGGGTGGGCGGCGGGCAGCGGGCGGGCGTCGGATTGGGTTTAGTGTTGGAGACGGAAGCAAGGCGGGCGGGCGGCGGGCGGGTCGAGATTGCAATGTGATTCCTGCGGGATTTGTCTTGCAGCGGGATGTTCTTGAGTACTTGCGTTCGGGACGGAGGCTGGTGAGTACTGGGCGCGCCGTTGGAGACGGAAGCAGGGCGAGCGGGCGGGCGGGTGGCGAGCGGCGGGCGGGCGGGCGGCGGGGGGGACTTGCTGCTGAGCGTCCGTCGACCTCGTCGCCGCCGCTGGGGTTGCCTCGAAATCCTTCCTCGTCCTCCTCTTCACCATCACCATCAGCATCAGCATCAACGTCCTCTCATCATCATCATCATCATCATCATCATCATCATCATCATCATCATCATCATCATCATCATCGTCATCGTCATCGTCATCATCCTCATCCTCATCCTCATCCTCATCCTCATCCTCATCCTCCTCATCATCATCATCATAATCATCACCATCACCATCAGCATCATCAGCAGCACAGCATTAGCATCATCATTAGCAGCATCATCATCAGAAGCAGCATGCTCAGCATCATCATCAGCATCATCTACAACATCATCAGCAGCAGCATCAGCATCATCATCAACAGCAGCATCATCGCCATCATCATCATCACCATCATCATCACAATAATAATAGAAAGCAGGATCGTCTGCATCATCATCAGCATCAGCATCATCATCCGCATCAGCATCAACATCAGCATCATCACCACCATCATCAATACCATCACAATCATCAACATATCAATGTTCATGTTCACGTTCATCTTCGTCATCATCAGCACCATCAGCATCATCATCAGCATCGGCAACATCATCGTCGGCATCAACAGCACCATCATCAGCATCATCATCACCATCACCATCACCATCACGTTCAGCAAAATCGTCTCTTCATCCAGGCATCGAACGACGACGACGACGACGACGACGACGACGACGACGACGACGACGACGGCGACGACGACGACGACGACGACGACGACGACGACGTCGCCCAGGTCTCCGAAGGCGGCCGAAGACCTCCGAAAACCTTCGAGGGCCGCCGATGGCCGCCAGTGCCGCCGAGGGCCACCGACAGCCTCGCTGCGCCAAGGTCTCCACGCACCTGCGCGCCAAGGTCCAGAAGCGCCACAGCTTCGGCCCTGGAGCCGCCACCGACCAGCAGCCGCAGCCCACGGGTCCGCAGCCGGCGCGACGAGGAGGACGGGGAGGAGCAGCAGCAGGAGGAGGAGGAGGAGAAGGAACAGCAGGAGATGGTCTCCTCCTCCTCCTCCGCAGGAGGTGCGCACACAGTATCACACGGTGCGCACAGTTCCACATCACACGGCACGCGCAATGCTTCCTCTTCCTCCTCCTCCTCCTCCTCCTCCTCCTCCTCCTCCTCCTCCTCCTCCTCTTTGAGGTAACGATGTTGTTTTCCGTTCTTTCTGGGCCTTGGCATCGTTCGGACGGGTGCATGTTTCTCTCGGCGAGGACCATCGAGGGGCATCCTTGATCATCGAGCCGAAAAAAAACACACACGAAACCGACAAATGCACGGGGAATGGACGTCCGAGCGATGGCAAGGGGTCTACTCGTGCGCCCTCGTCGCCAAGCTTGGTCGGAATGCACCCGAGGCTAGGGGGAAGGTCTAGGGATTCGATGTTGAGAAGGAGCCAGACCTCCAGCGTCACAAAAGATCGCGACAGCCAGTGTTTCATCATTCAGGGCATCCAGAAGCTGTTTCTGCGCCATGGGGCTTCCAAAACCTTAAGCAACTAATTGTTCAATCGTTTCGATATTTCTGCTGGCCCATTCTGTATCATCGCTGCCACTTGCTTGCGTGCTCGCGGGAGCTGAGAAGTTGGCGGGTGGCGCTCCTCGGGGCCTCCTGCGGCCTCTTGGGGGCTTCTTAGGGACTTATTGGAACCTCGTTAGGGCATATTTGGGGCCTCTTGGAGGCTTGCTGGCAATCTCGGAGGCCCTCTTTGTCAAGCAGCGGCGAAGCATCCTGGCTCGCCTATAGCCCGATCGAACAATGTTCTAAGAACCTTTTGTGATTTCCGCGAGATGCTCTTAGAACATCGTTGGCGGAGTCTGTCTTGTTTTATCACATCGGGGTGATGTTCTAAGAACACTGCTCTTGTTCTTAGAACAGCTCTGGGTTATGAGAACATGTCGTGGTAGGACTACAGGAATGCCCGGACGGTCGGTCCCTGCTCAACTTTGGGACCTGGGGGGTCCTCGGACCGTGCCCGGGCGCCCCAGGGCCGTCTGGGAGCTCTTTCGGCGGCCCCTGCGGCAGTCGGAGCGACCTCGGGGGCCTCTTGGGCAGCCTGGGGCCGTCGGAAGCCCAGAACAGCAAGGGCGCCAAAGTCTGCCAAAAGTCACAGCTGGTGATGCCCTGGGGCCCTTTGGGTCGTCTCTGGGGCCTCTCCTGGGCCCGTCTTGCGGCCACCTGGGACCGTCCCGGAGCCCTTTGGAGCTCTCTTGGGGCGCTCCTGGCGCTGACGGTGGGGGAGTGGGAGCCCGCGCCCGGGAGTTCCAGCGTCTCTGAGCCGAACTGCCCGGGCCACTTTTCTCCAGGGATCGCCCCGCGCGTGCGCACCAGTGCTACACAAATTCTCGGGGCCTCATGCCAGAGAGTCTAGCCACGCGTTTGGCCCGCCGGGCCACGGAGTGTTGCGTCCGTCGGGCGATCTCCGCTACGAAGCTGCTGCGAATGGCTTCGAATCTTGTCCCGAGTGACTTCTTACTTGTGATGTGCTATACAGAGCCTCGTCCTCCTCCTCCTCCTCCTCCTTCTTCTCCTCGTCCTCCTCCTCCCTCCTCCCTCCTCCCTCCTCCTCCTCCCCCTCCTCCTCCCTCCTCCTCCTCCTCCTCCTCCTCCTCCTCCTCCTCCTCCTCCTCCTCTCCTCCTCCTCCTCCTCCTCCTCCTCCTCCTCCTCCTCCTCCTCCTCCTCCTCCTCCTCCTCCTCCTCTCGTGCCTGTCTCCTGGGCCCACGGCTCCTTTGCCTGGAACCCGCGCGCACCTGCCTTCACGTCGCCAGCGTTCCGCACCACGTGCCCCCTCCGGGGAGGAAGGGGGCGACGAGAGGGAGGAGAAGGATGAAGAGGAGGAACAGGAGGAAAGTGAGAGGGGGAGGGCGAGGAACGGGAGAGGGAACGGGAGAGGGAGAGGGAGAAGGAAAGGAACGGGAGAGGGAGGGGAAGGAACGGGAGGAGCGGGAGGAGAGAGGGCAGGCGGGAACAGGAGGAGAAGAGGAGGAGGAGGAGGAGGAAGGAGGAGGAGGAGGAAGGAGAGATTGGGAGCTGGAAGGGAGGAGGGAGGAAGGAGGAGGGAGGACGAGAGGCAGGGGACGGGGCAGACGGCGCGGGAGGCGGAGGCGCAGGAGAAGTCGGTGGGGAGGTGCCCGCCCTGCTCCTCTGCCGGCGCGCGCCCCGCGAGCCAGGCGGCAGCACCGGCGGGGCCGGCAGCCGGAACCCCAGAGGGGCCACCAGCGCCGCCGCCACCAGCGTGGCGCCTCCGTTCCAGCTGCAGCAGCTCATCTAGGGGAACGAACAATGAAGTAAGCATAAAAACGCGGATGCAAGTCTGTGAAGCGCAGTTCGTCTCTCTGCCCCCTCCCTCCGTTTTTGCATGCATCCTTCTTGCTGTCTTCTCTGCTCCTCTTGTTGTTCTCTCCGCAGCTGCGTGTGTCACAGGAGAAGGCCGGGGCCAGGGTGTGACCCCGTGTGCGCGACTTGGCCAATGAAGAGAAGAGCGCGTAGGAGGAGGTCAGGTGCAGGAGCTAACTCGGAGGTCCGCGCGGATTTCTCGGATCCGCGCTGGACCGACCTGGCGGCGCCGCCCCTGGCGCGCTCCGCGCGCCAGGGGAGGGGGGCCCAGCGCCGATCCGAGAAACCCGCGCGGACCTCCGAGCTTTTTATGCTTGTGCCATGCCATTATTCGTTCCCCTGTCGTCAGCGTGCGGCCCATCGTGGCCCCGCCCGCGCGCTCCGGGGCCTCGGCGCACGACTCGAGCGACCGCGCCGCGCCCTCGGGCTGGACGTCGCTGACGCTGCCGCCGGGGTCGCTGGGGAGGCCCGGCCCCGTCTGCGCGAGCTACGCGAGGACCGCCGAGCTGCCGGGGCGCAGCACTTTCACCGGCGGCAGGTGACTCGGGTCCGATCGGGCGTGTCGTCGTGGGGGGGGAGCGAGTACATGGGGGGGGTCGAGGGCTGCCGGGAAGGGGGCCTCGAAGAGGCCCCACGGGGGGCCCCCAAGGTCCCGAAGGTGCAGGAACGGCACAGCTTCGTTCACTCTCCCGTGCACTGGCCCCACTACGCCACGCCCAGTCCGCCGCCCCCTCTCGGGCGCCGTCCGTTGTTTTTTGTCCGCGGAGTGCCGAGGATTTCAATTCTGGGTTCCCCAGTATCGCTGCCCGCCTCTCCTCCCCCTCGACAGCCTCCTTCCCCAGCCACTGCGCCGACTCGCGAATCCGTGCAAAAGCCGGTTCCCCCCTCGCATCCGCTAGTTCGCGGCGCCAGCCAGATGCGATTGCCGAACGCCCCGAGGAGGAGGAGGAGGAGGAGGAGGAGGAGGAGGAGGAGAAGGAGGAGCAAGATGTCAGGATGGTTAGTTGATTATGCGTTCCCAGATTTCACGGGGGCCCAAAATCTCCCACTGTCCCGCACGGGCTCCAGAAACGCAGGCCGCCAGGTACTCCAGAATTCTTGGAGCGTACACAGTCAGCCCGCATAGTGAGGATGAGCGACTTTCCAAAGCTACCCTTACATCCGTGCCCCTTTCGGCCCATCCTCAACGGCTCTCGCTGGCTCGTTCGGAAAACGTGAACGTGGCCCTCCAAGGCCCTTGCATCCTTACCGCGCATCCTTACTATACGGCTTCATTGTGTTCCAGAGCTCCTGGAGCGTACAGTGGAGAACCATACCAAGAAACACCCTGCTTGCCTGCCCGGGGTTTCTTGGGTTTCGATGGTTTTGCTATCGAAAGCGTGACGTTCCCACACCAAAAATCAATGGACGTCCTGGGGTCTCAGGGTTGGGCTTCTTGTAGAAAGTCTCTTGTGGACTGGCCTCCACTATGTCCAGAGCCAACCAAGTCCTGACAGCGTCCCCGCCCAGTCTGAGGACAACCACGGGCGCCGGGCCGTCCCTGGATCGACCTATGCCACCCCTCGCCGTCGCGCGAACTGCAGGAGGGGGGAGGAAAACAAACACAAATGGACACAATTCAGCGTCGACTCCCAGGCAAATATGGGAACATGTGGGAAGTGGGGGGGAAGGCGAAGCTCCAGAGAATGCAGGAAAAGATGAGAAAGAGGCCTGAGATTTGCGTCTGTTCACTTGTGTGCCCCTGGGCCCCTTCAGAACCCTCCTGGGCGGGGCCTCCGCCTCCCCCGCCACACCAGCTCTCCGGCGCCCATGGGGAGCCCGGGCGCCCGCTTTCCCGGCTGGGGCCTCCGGAGCCAGAGCTCCCAGCCCACAGCAGGCACACCGAGTTAGGAACTGGCCTGCCAACGGGTGCCCCACGATAACGGAACGCCTGATCTCCCGATGGCGCTACAGAGCCGCGCGGGGCGCCCTGCGAAGCTCGGGGGCGACGGAGGATGTGCCCTTAGCTGCCTTGGCGCAGAATAGGTCATCGTGCGTGCCCACTCCTGGGGCCCACGAGGCACAGAAGCCTGCCACGCGCGAGTTCCTCTCAGTCGCGGCCGAGGAGCAGGCCCACCCTCTGGAGGCAAGGGTTCCCCGCCCCTGCCCAGCCACTGCCCTGGCTCGTGCCCCCGGGCTTCTCGGCGCCGCTCTGCCCCCGGACGAGTCTTGCGCCCTCCCCGGCGTCCTCAATCGCCGGCCGCGGCTCTGGGCAGAGAGGGCGCCGAGAGCGCCGCTGCCTCTCGGCGACGCCGGGCTCGCGTGCTGCTCGGGGAGCGGACGGGTGGCCAGCCCGTCCCCCCGCGAGAGCGGGTGGCAGTTCCGCCTCCCGCGCGGGGCGTCCCCGAGTAGTCCTGCGGAAGCCGGCGGAGGCAGACCCGTCACACCCCTCGGCTTCCAGCGTCTTGCAAGGATGAGCGCGGAGGTCTGTCTCGGCTTCCAGCCTCTGGAGGTCGTGCGTTTCGGGCGCCGCCTTCCGGCCCTCACCTCCGGGTGTGGCACCGTGGCAAGGGCCGCACGGCGCCGATGGGCAGCCGTGGTCAGTCGGCCTACAGTGGGGGCCCATGCCAAAAAGAACACCCTGCTGGCCTCCAGGGTGTCCATGGGTTTCTTGGGTTGCGATGGCTTTGCTGTGGAAGGCGTGACGTTCCCACGCCAGACATCCATGGACGCCCTGGGTCTTAGGGTTGGTTTGCTTGTGGAAGGCTTCGTGTGGTCGGGCCCCTGCTGTACGAAGGCCCGACCGTCTCCACAGGGCGCGCGGCTGAGAGTCCGCGCCTGGAGGCCTGGCGCCAGAGCCAGCGCCCCCCGGAGGCCCAGCACACGAGAAGGCCCGGCGCGGAGGCGAGAGAGCCAGCGCGCGCCAGGAGAAGGCGCGCGCGCCGCACGGATGAAGGACCAGACGGCAGAGCAGCGACGCCGGCAAGGGCACGGAGGGCGGTTTCGGCCAGGGCCAGGGTGGGCGAGGTCAAGAGAGAGGAGGGGAGACTAGGTCGCGGCAGCTTTGCCTCAGACAAGGGTTGCGCGTCACGGCAGCAGGACGAGGCAGCATTTGTTGGCGTAGTGCTTCCTTCTTCATGTGCATGTTGGGGCGCCTCTCCTCCCAATTCCGCATCCCTGGGGGCCACCTGTCTACACGGTCCAGCTACGGGCTTCCAGTCCGTGCAGGTCTGCGGCACAGGAATCTCACAACCGCACCATGAGGGAGCCGGGCGCGCTTCCTCGGCTCCTGGCAGGAGCTGCCCAGTGCCTCTCCGAAGAGCACGGGCAGGCCCTCCCAGGTGCACCCAGCTGGGGTGAGCCAGCCAGCCGCGGCGCCTGGCGCGTGGTCAGACTGCGATGGTGTATCCTGGGCGGGTTAGAGATGTGCGCGGTGTTGGACAGTTCTGGCTTCCTTTTGTGTGGTCCCCTTTCTCCGCCAGGGCTGTCCGATCTCCCGCTTCATCCCGACTCGGATAGGATGTGGCGCTGTTTTTTGATTCACGGTCTGGCACGAACAAAGTATCTAAGTGATTGAAAAAGGACTTGAATATCTACTGCACCCCATGTCACCCGCTATCGCTATCATTACCGACCCCGCAGTTCTAGTTTCCCTTCCCCTTCATCCTCTTCCTTCCTTTCCTCCTCCCCTTTCCACCTTTTTGCCCTGAGCATCAGAAGCAGCGGGACTCCGTCATCATAATCATTGCAAACACCACAATACCCAGCTTCGTCATCATTGCAAATGAACTCATCGTCCTCCTCCTCCTCCTCTTCCTCCTCCTCCTCCTCCTCCTCCTCCTTCTCCCTCCTCCTCCGCCTCTTCCTCCTCCTCTTCTTCCTCCTCCTCCTCCTCCTTCTCCTCCTCCTCCTCCCACTCCTCCTCCCACTTCTCCTCCTCCTCCTCCTCCTCCTTGACCTCCTCCCGACTGCCGCGCGGCGATTGGGCTCGAGGAGGTAGCCAGACAGGGTCCCAGCATCTGGGGCTGGAACGTTCCGCCTTTCTGGCAGCCGATCTTGGACCTCACGTGCCACCGCTCGGCTGTGTGGGACGTGCACCACCAGCGGGCGCTGCGCAGCCTGGTCCATAACACCTACTGGTGCCAGGGTCGGGGCGGTCGACCCTTCGGTCCCGACCAACTGCCAGCTGTACGGCTTCAAAGACGGTTTCCTCTTCCACTGGGTTTTTCAAATGCGAGGCCCACGACGGATGGCGACGCGAGTTCCTCGAGCCTTTGCTGCAGCAGGCGGCTGATGAGGTCGAGGGCCCTCGCTACCCGCTCACGGAATTGCTCGCCAGGGGGTTCTTCGCCATCATGCCGGAGCTCTTCCAGCGGCTTGCGCGGCCAGTGGGCGACCTCTTCCAGTGCTCCACCAGCTGACTCGAGTTCGGCCCCCACTTCGACGGGGGGCACATCTTCGTCGACGGCTCGGGCGTCTACCAGGCCTACCACAACTTGCGGGCGGCTGGCTGGTCCGCCGTGGTGTACGACGCGAACCGCAAGCTAATCGCCGAGGCCTGGGGCGCGGTCCCGCTCAGTGAGGGGCCAGAGCAGCTGGCCAGGGACGGCGAGGACTACGCGGTGAAGGTGCTGACGGGCACCGTGGTTGGCGGCGCCTTCCGCCTCTATATCGATTGCCTCGCCACCGTGCGCTGCGCGGGCTGCCCAGAGGCGGCGGCCGCTGCCAGCAGCCAGCGAGCCCACCTCTGGGTTGGGAGGGCTGAGAGGCTCCAGGAGGCCACGGTGGTCAAGCTCAAGGCCCACTTGGGCCAAACAGCGGTGAGGAACAGCCAGATCACACAGCTCGAGCTGGACGGCAACGCCAGAGCGGACCTGCGCGCCAAGGAGGGCGCGGCGGCCGCCAGGGCGCCCCTGGCCTCCAGTGCCCCGGGGGCTGCCAGGTGATTGCCCGACAGGCGGCGCTGTGCGCAGCGTCGCAGGAGGTCCACATCTCCCTTTGCGGACTGTTGGACTCCATGGGCGCTGGCGCGCTCAAGCGGATAAACTTGGGCGAGATGCCCGAAGGACCTGACGAGCCTGAAGGTGACGACGGCGTGAAGCCTGAGGCCAGCCCCCTCGGCTCAGACGGGGGCCAGCGGGCAGCCCCTGACGGCCCCCTGCGGCCTTGGCGCGTGCGCGGACATTCCCTGCTCGCGGCGCCGATCTTTGCCGACCAAAACGCCCGCGACGCAGCACAGTCGAATGGTGCCCTGTTGTGTTGCTCCACGCGCAGCGGGTACATTTCAGACAAGAATGGGCGAGGCCTCCAGGATACATGTCCTGGAGGCCCGATCCCCAGCGCCAAAAAATATCGCAGCCGTCTCAAAGCCCCCCAAGAGCGGGAAAGGGCTTCTAAGTAGCTTCGGGTCGCCCTCGGACTCTAGCACCGATTTTTGGATTGGGCATGTTCCCGCAGTTGCTCCGAGGAGGCCCAAACGGGTTCCCCGACCGACAGCCCGAAGAGGCCGATTGTCCTGGAGGTTTTACCGTCCTTCGGGCTCCAGTTGGCCCGAGCCCAGCGGTTGGGGTCGAGAGCCTTGGAGGCCAGAATTGAGGCCCTTACATCGAGGCAGAGGGCCCATGCGGCCCAGGGTTCGTTGGACCACCCAGGTATATGATCCAAGCGCCCGCGTGCAATTCGTTGCGCGCGGGTGTGAGGGCCAGTCGCCTGGACGGCCCCGTGGGTCGAATTCGTCTTGCAAGACCATGTTGGTCGAGACTAGCCTCCTCCTCCTCCTCCTCCTCCTCCTCCTCCTCCTCCTCCTCCTCCTCCTCCTCCTCCGGCTCTGATGCGCTTACTTCTGCGCAAATGGAAGTTGTCGTCAGCCACCTCGACGCGAACTTCGCGCTCTCTGACTACCACCGCGAGCCTGTAGTTTGGCTGCGCACGCATCTTGGTGCACTACTTCAAGCTGATGATGTTCGTGAAGATGAGGTGGGAGCTGCCGACGCCCATGGATGACCTGGTGAAGATGTGGGACCCGGCGAGGCCGCACCTGCGCATCACGAACCTGCTCCTTGTGATCATTGGGGAGCTCTTCACCCGACCACGGCCCATGCACTACAGCTGGCTCATGAGCACGCGGCCATTGGCACTATGTCAGGGTTGTTGCCGCCCACATTTCCTGCGCTACAACTTGCACTCGAGGTCCTTGCTCGAGGCACTGATCCGCGCCCGATTTCGCCGGCAACATCATCGACAACCTCTGTGACAGCGAGCTCCATGACGACGGCACATACAGCGGCCCCAGCTCATCCTGATGCGATTTCCGAACAGCAGATTGAGCATGCGCTGCGTACCCTGGACATCCTGTACCCTGTGATCTCCGCGGACAAAACGGAGATGATTTAGTGGATGCTAAACAACCCTGCGTGCCTCCTGGGAGCAGATGATGAACTACCATATGAGGCCGAGCTGGAACTTATCGCTAACCCTGGTGTTCAGGAACTTCTTGATGATGAGCCTGTCTTTCTCGAGCTCCACGCGGCCGAGGACGCGATGCTGCGCGACATGGAGGACGATGGCGACCCGACCTTCGGCAACCAGGTGATCGTTGCCGCCTCGCTCCATGATGGTGCTCATCTTCATCATGCCGAAGATCCTGTTGGCGACTCCGTGGACGTCGAGGGCGCCTTCCTAAACCACACGCCCTTCGACCCCGTGGCGCAGGTGGCGTTCGGCGGCGCCGACGGCGCTTCCTCTTCTGCTGCCGTCCACGGTGCCTTCTTCCCCGACTACGACCCAGCAGACAACATCTTCGTCGAGGGTGACGTGCTCATGCTGGACAACGACGGCGTCGCCATCGCGGACGCCGACACCCCCGCCCTGAGCGGCCCCGCGAGCCGCGCGGCGGGCGCAAGCGGGCCCTGAGGAGCCTGGATCCTTCGCCTCAGGGACGCTCGCTCCTCCTCCTGCTCCTCCTCATCCTCTCATCCTCCTCATCCTCCTCCTCCTTCTTGTTTTCCTCCTCCTCTTCCTCTTCCTCCTCCTTTTCTTTTCCCCCACTCTGTGGATACAAGCGAACATAAGCGAATTCCTCAGCATCCTCCTGCTCCTATTGTTCGTCCTCCGTCTCCTCCTCTTCCTCTCCCCCTTCTCCCCATCACCCCTTCCTGCTCATCATCGTCACCATCATCACCACATGCATCACCATCATTACGTGCATCGACAGCATCATCAGCAGCAGCGGCAGCAACAGCATCATCACCAGCAGCATCACCAGACTCATCAGCATCATCCTCATCATCGGCAGCATCAGCACCATCATCAGCACGCCATCATCGTCGTCATCAGCATCAGCATCACCGTCATCAGCTGCAGCAGCATCAGCATCCTCATCATCATAGCCGCTGTCGCTCGAGAACCTGCTGGCGCGGCGGTTTCAATCGTGCACCTGCTGGATGCCCCGCCAGGCCTTGCCCGGCGCGCGTCGACTGGCTTCCGAGGCAGTTGGGCGCAGGGAGAGCGGTGCATATCGCCTTCGGCCTTGCTGCGGACGCCTCTATGGCCAAGGTGAAGGTCGTGGCGGCGCCTGCCGCCGCAGGTGCTCCTTCGCTTGCTGTTTGTCACGCTGCGCTGGGTCCTCCATATGACCTCCTTCGGCAGCCTGCTGATGGGTTCGGTCACCCCGGAACGAGGGCACCGCCAGTCAGATGGGTGTTCCGTCGTGCAGTTATGGGCGCAGCGTGCGGGCCGCAGCCGTCCTCATCCCGATGGCGCTGGCGGGAGTCTTGGTGGCCGTGATGAGGATGATCCTGACGCAGGGCACCATGGCTCGCATCGCCCTTGACGTTATGGTCGCGACGCTGCCTAGCACTGCGATCCCTGGGCATGTGTGCTTCGTGGCGGAGGTGTCGGCCCACAGCCCAAAGTTCCACGGCGACATGCCTCTGTTGTTCAAGCTCCGCGTGTGGCTGCTGACGTGCGTTCTGTCGATGTCTGTGTGCACCTGGAGCAAGTTCGTGAGCATGTGCCCGATGATATTATGAAAATTCCTCCACCTCCTGTTATTCAGTTTCGCGGCGGGCATGCCGGTCGTCATCCTGGCCTTCGGTTATCCTTTCGTCTTGTCCTTCGCCCTCCCGATGGCGATGCAATTCGTCAGTCTGGACCTTGTGGCGCTCACGTCGACGAGCGTTGGAGGCAAGCTGGTGGTCGCGTTCACGGACCTGGCCTCCAGTCCTGGTTTGTTGGCGTACCTGACGTGTGGGTCCCGCTGCTTGTGCATCATGGTCTTCTTCAGCGCCCACTGCATGCTGGTCAAGCTGGTGAAGCGGGAGATGTATCGGAGTCATTCCCGACTGCGTCAGCCTTCCCAAATCTGGAGGGGTCCGCTGGTGAGAGGACCGTGGGACGCAGCGTGGTCAGACACTTCGTGGCGAGTTCCATTGGAAATTTAGTTTTAAGATATACGTCGGTCGCTGAGCGTCGCCACGTGAAGGCCTATATTCATAGGTGTTTAGCTTTCTGCGTCATCAAAGCCAACACGGAACTAGAAGATGCTTTGTGCCTCATGCTTGATAGATTTGGATGTCCGGCAAAGAATGTAGGCCAGCTCGAGCAAGATATGCTTTCTTCCAGTGTTACCTTACTGTTTGGATAGTTGGATCTATCCTTGGTGAGATCCGAACTTCTGTACTGTCTCCAGGGTAGTTGCCTGGATTCGCCCCTGCCCCCGTTTTTCCCTCGCCCTCGGCTCGGTTTTTTGGTCACCCCGCCTGGTTTCCTGGCGTTCGCTCCCCGTTTTGGGGCCCGCTGTCCTGTTGAACTGCGATGCTATCGTCAAGATTGCGTTACAGCTGCCATTGTAAGCAAATCAAGGTCGAAGCTTGTGGTGGGAGTGCCACCATCATCGCCGTCATCATCATCATCATCAACACCGCAATCACCACAAGCATCATCATCATCAGCATCACCATCATCATCATCATCACCACCATCATCATCGTAATCATCATTATGTGCACGATGATCACCAGGACCACTAGCATCCTCATATAACTCTTCCTCCACCTCCATATATTCATTCTCCTCATCGTCATCCTTCTTCTCCTCCTCCTCCTCCTCGCCCATCCGTTTTCCTTCCAACAAAGATCCTCTCTTTCGCACCCCCAAACTCGTTGGCAGGGCAGGCCGGGCGTTTCGCCTAAGACTCTCCCCGCTTGTGACCTTGACACTGAAGATTGTGTAACAACTTCACGGATGGAGGGCGGGTCGCCTCTAATTTGTGGGTATCGCTTCTCAGCCGCGCATCTTCATTCAAAATTGTGCAACAGCTTCACGAATGGAGGGTGGGTCGTGTTCAAAGTGCGGTTTTCGCCTAAGCACCACACACATTCGTTTTGAAAGTGTGCAGCCGCTTCAAGGATGGAGGACTGGTGGTTTTCTGAACGCTGCTCTCCGCCTCAGCGCCGCGCACATTGGTTTGAACAATTTGCAACAGCTTCAAGGATAGAGGGCGGCGTCTCTTCAAAATGCGGCTCTCTTACCAGTGCCGCCCACATTCGTTTAAAGTTCACGGCCGTTTCAAGGATTCGCCTGGTTGAAGTCCCAGGAATTCTGTTCTGGCAGGACTCAGGGTTGTCGGGACGCAACAGTCACGTGGGTTCACGGTGTTGGAGGCCCAGGAACGGTGTTCTGGCACGACTTAGGGTTGTCAGGACGCCACAGTCAAGTTGATCCGCGGCGTTCGACCCCCAGGAACGGCGCTTTTGCACGATTGGGTATTGTCAGACAGTTGTCTTCTAAGGGGACATTTCCCGAATTGAAAGTAAATTTTTGCAGGGGCCTATGTAGCGAGAAGTTGGAGGGAAGGTTTACTGCAACGTCGTTGACGCATATTGGGTTTACACTGGTCTCCCGTTCCCTCCTCCATATCCTCTGTATCCTTTTCATCATCACCAGCATCATAATCACCGTCATCACCACCTTCATCACCATCATCACCACCAGTATCAGCATCATCCTTATCAGCATCACCATCATCATCAGCATCATCGTCATTCTCATTATCATGAGGATCAGCGTCATCGAAATCAGCAGCATCATAAACACCATCAGCATCGGCATATTCATCATCATCAGTATCATCGTCATCAGCATCATCATCAGCAGCATCACCATCATCATCATCATCAGCAGCAGCGTCATCGTCATCAGCATCACCATCATCAACATCACCGTCATCATCATCAGCATCCCCATCTTCATCTTCATCATCATCATCACCATCATCATCATCTGCGTCACCATCATCAGCATCACCACCATCATCATCATCATCATCACCATCACCATCATTCTCATCGTCGGCATCAAATTCAGCAGCATTGTCACCATCATCAGCATCACCCTCGTCATCACTAGCTTCAGCATCAGCATCATCAGCAGCATCACCGTCATCGCCATCAGCATCAGCAGCAGCAGCATCATCTCCATCAGCATCACCATCGCCAGCATCAGTATCATCCTCGTCATCGTCAGCATCTCCATCTCTATCATCATCTTCGCCATCATCAACATCAACAACATCATCTCGTATCATCTCATCCATCTCGTATCTATCATCAGCAACAGCATCATCGTCATCCTCGCCCTCGTCACCGAGGCCGCGGGCCCCCCACCTGTCACCAGCCAGGCGGGCGGGGCCCGCGGCCCCCAGCGCATGCCTTCTCTGCGGCCCGCCGCTCCGCGGCCCTCGCGTGCGCGCGGGCGGCGCCTCGGGCTGCGCGGTCCTACAGCGGGGTGAAGGTGGAAGAGGAGGTGGAGGAGGAGGCGGAGGAGGAGGAGGACGAGGAGGAGGAGGAGGAGGACGACGACGACGACGGGGAGAAGGACGGGGAGGAGGAGGAGGAGGAGGAGGAGGAGGAGGAGGAGGAGAAGAAGAAGGAGGAGGAGGAGAAGGAGGAGGAGGGGGAGGAGGGGGAGGAGGAGGAGGAGGAGGAGGAGGAGCACCTGCGTAAGCACAAGATGCATCAGCGATGCTGTAATACGCCCTCCCGCCCCGGGCCCCTTCCTCACAGGTCTCCAACGGCCGTCGTTTGCATTACAGAGAACGCCCCCCTGGATAGACCACCACCCGATGGGCTTGCCATTCAGGCGGGAGCCCCGTTTTGAAAAGGAAACGCCTTGCACCTTGTCAGCACATCGCCAGGGCCGCAACAGGCACAACAAGTAATGATATGACCATGCAGTGGCATCTCCTTTCTGTATCAGTGCCCCCTTCAGTGTAGCAGTTGCACAAGGTTGCACTGATGGTGGCGACCGCCAAGGAAATCTCAAAGAGAGTCCCATCTTGAAAAAGAACCGTCCTGCATCCCTGCAACCGTTGCAGAATTGGACGGAGAATGTGCGCGGCGCTAAGGCGAGAGTCACGCGTTTTAAAAGAATCGCCTTCCATCTTGGTGAGGATGGCAAGATGTGACGACGAAGTTGCGCAGCGCCGAGGCGAGACACATATTGTAAAACCAGCCTTCCCTCCGTCTTTGAAGATGCTGTCAGCGTTTACAACGAATGTGCGCGGCACGTCGGCGAGAGCAACACTTGGAAACGGAACCGCCCCCCACCCGACGGGTGCAAACATGTAAGGCGGCGTTGCGCGGCGCTATGCCGAGAGCTACATGGTTTAAAACGTCCCTTGCGCAATCCTCGAGCACACGGGAAAGGTTTAAGGCGATTGCGCGTTGCGCTAACGAGATAGCCGCATGTTGAAAAAGAGCCGTTCCCAATACAAGAAATTGTGGCGGAATTTTACGACGAATGTGCGCGGCGTTGGGTAAAGAGCCGCATGGTGAAAAGGATTTCTCCTTGCCCGTTCAACAATTACACAAGCTCGCACTCGCGACGATGGCCCTCAATAAAGGCCCAAGCGAAAGCACCATTTTGAAAAAGGAACCGTCCTCCACCCCTGCAATTGCTGCAACAGTATACCACGAATGCGCGCGGCGCTGAAGCTAGATCCACACTTGAAAAGGAATCGCCCCGCCATAAACGACTATAAATTGTTAAATCGGCTGTTCGCGGCGCTAAGACGAGAGTCACATTGTGAAAACGACCCGTGTTCCATCTCCGAACGTGTTGCAAAGTTGTAAGACGATTGTGCTCGGCTTTGACGCAGGATCCTCATGTTGCAAGCAGAACCATCCTCCATCCATGCAGCTGCTGCGGAGCGGAACTGTAAGACGAATGTGCGCGGCGCTGATGCGAGAATCACAGTTTGGGAAGGAACCGCTCCCCATCAGTGAAATTGCTGCGAATTGTTGAGTCGACCCTGCGCGGCGCTTACGAGAGGGCCATGGTTTGAAAATTGCCAGTGCTCTATCCCCGAACGTGCCGCAAAGATTTAAGGCGATTGCGCGCGGCCTCAACGCAGGATTCCCATTTTGAAAACAGAACCGTCCTCCATCCACGCAAATGCTTCGAAATGTTACGACGAACGGACGAATGTGCGCGGAGCTTCCCGTCCCTGCAACTGTTGCAAGATTGCACACGGAGGTTTAAACGAATCCCCCATCCATCCCTGAACCTACTGTAACACGCTAAGACGAGTGTGCGCGGCGCTAAGGCTAGCCCCACATTATAAAAACGGCCCGTCCTCCATCCTTGGAAGCTTTTGCAAGCGTTTAAGTATAATGCACGCGGCGCTAAGGCGAGGGCCACATGGCTAAAAAAGAAACCGCCCTCCATCCGCGAGTCTGCTGCATGTTTGAGACGAGTGTGCGCGGCGCTATGTCCAGAGCACTTCTGAGAAAGGGACCTGCACTCCATCCTCGAAGTTGTTGCAACATGCTACGGTAAATGTGCGCGGCGCTGAGGCGAAAGTCACATGTTGAAAACGATCCCGTTCTGCCTTTTTAACGGCTGCACGGTGCCAAGACACATGTTCGTGGCGTTAAGGCGAGAGCCACATGATGAAAGGGGTTTCCAGCCGCACAACAGTTACAAATGATGGTTGTCAAGCTATCGGAGCATAAATGGTGAGGATGTCTCAGGCGAAACGCCCGACCCGCCCGACCGACAGGCCGGTGTGGCGCGACCAGGAGGAGTTACGGAAATTGGAAAATAGACGGAGGAGGGAGGAGGGCGGAGGGAGGAGGGGGAGGAGAGGATATAAAGGTTGACGGAGGGGGGCCCGCTGTAAAGGTTGACGGAAGACGTGACGGCCGAGTCTTTTTGTAATGCGGAAGCCGTGAATTGCTTTATCATCCCTCAGCGACGCATTGAGCATACGTAGTGCATGCAAAAGGAGAGGATGAGGAGGAGGAGGAGGAGGAGGAGGAGGAGGAGGAGGGAGGAGGGAGGAGGGAGGAGGGAGGAGGAGGAGGAGGAGGAGGAGGAGGAGGAGGGAGAGGAGGGAGGGAGGGAGGGAGGGAGAGGAGGAGGAGGATGAGGAGGAGGAGAGGAGGAGAGGAGGAGGAGGAGAGAAGGAAAGGGAAAAGGAGAGAGGGAGGAGAGAGGAGGAGGAGGAGGAGGAGGAGGAGGAGGAGGAGGAGGAGGAGGAGGAGGAGGAGGAGGAGGAGGAGGAGGAGGAGGAGGAGGAGGAGGAGAAGAAGAAGAAGAAGGAGGAGGAGGAGGAGGAGGAAGATCAGGAGGAGGGGTAGGAGGAGAATGAGAGGGGAAAAGAGGAGGGAGAGGAGGAGGAGGAGGAGGAGGAGAAGTAGGAGGAGGAAGAGGAGGAGGCGGAGGAGGGGGAGGAGTAGGAAGAAGAGGAGGACCAGGGGGGAAGGAGGAAGAAGCGCGGAGGAGGAAAGGGGTGGTGGTAAAGAGATGCTGGAACCCCCATTCAGGGGATGAGATTTGTGTCGCTTGATGGCTTTAGGGTGCTCATGCAGGCACCCCTTCGCACTCAGCCTATGCCCTGCGCCTTGCTACGAGGAAGGCCCGAGCAAAAAGAGCTCGGTCCGACCAGCTGTGCATGACCTTATGCCAGGGCAGCAAAAGCCACAGGGATTGTGAGAGAAGTATTCCGCTTCCAGTCACACACTCACCCTCATTACCACGGTTCCCATCCCCATCTTTTGTCTCCTACCCCGTTACTCCTCCCCTTGCGTCTCCTCCCAATATTTCTTCTCCTCCCCCATCCCTCCCCCCTCTCCTCCCCCACATCCTCATCATGTTCATCTCTCCTAGCTCCTCCTCCTCCTCATCCTCCTCCTCCTTCCTCCGTCCTCCTCCTCCCCCTCCTCCCCCTCCTCCCCCCCCCCACTTCCGAAGCAAGTTGGGTGCAGGCCTGGGAGGTTTGTGTGTTTTCCACGAAGAAGCCAGAGGCTGCCCAAATTGTACACGGACGACCGCAGCCCGCGATCTCTGCATGCGGACGGATTGCATCCCGAATGGGAAAGGGATTGGAAAAGGGAGTGGAAAGGTGAGTTGAAAAGGGAGGGGAAACGGAAGTGGATAAGGGAATGGAAGATCCTTCAGGTGCTTAGGTTCCTGGGTTTCCTGGGTTCCTAAGTGACTGGGTTCCCAGGTGCCTGGGTGTCCTGGGTTCCTGGGTTCCGAGGTTCCTAGGTTCCTGGGTTTCTGGGTTCCTAGCTTCCTGTGTTCAAAGCTTCAAGAAAGAACCTTCAGAGACCTTGAGATGCTTAGGTATGGAAAAGGGGCAGAAAAGCGAGTGGAAGAGGGCGTGGAAAAGAGAGTTGAAAACGGAGGGAAAAGGGAGTGGAAAGGGAAGGGAAAAGGGGTTGGAAAAGGGAATGGACGATCTTTTAGAATCCTAGGCTCCTGGGTGCCTGGTGCCTGGGGTTCCTGGCTTCCTAGGTGCCTGGGTTTTAGGTTCCTGGGTTCTTTGGTTCCTGGGTTCCTAGGTTCCTGGATTCCTAGGTTCTGGATTCGTAGGTTCCTGGACCTCTGGAGTCCTAGGTTCTTGGATTCCTGGTGTCAAGAACTTTCAGATGTGTTGAGATTCTTAGATGTGGAAAAGGGATGGAGAAGGGAGTTGATAAGGAGTGGAAAAGGGAGTTGAAAAGGGATGGAAAATGGAGTGGAGGGAGCGAAAAAGGAAGTGGAAAAGTGAATGGAAAATCCTTTAGAATCCTAGGTTGGTGGGTTCCTGGGGTTCCTAGGTTCCTTGGTTCCTAGGTTCCTCGGTTCCTGGGTTCCTAGGTTCCTGGGTTCCTAGGTTCCTGGGTTCCTAGGTTCGTGGGTTTCCTGGGTTCCTAGGTTCCTGGGTTCCTAACATCAAGAACCTTCAGAAACTTTTAAATTCTTAGATATGGAGAAGGGATGGACAGGGGAGTGGAAGACGGAGTGGAAAAGGGAGTTGAAAAGGGAGGTAGAAGATAGTGGGAAGGGAGGGGAAAAGGGAATGGAAGATTCTTTAGAATCTTAGGTTCCTGTGTTCCTAGGTTCCGGGGTTTCCTAGGCTCATAGGTTCCTAGGTTTCTTGGGTTCCTGGGTTCATGAGTTCATGGGTTCATGGGTTCCTATGTGCTTAAGTTTCTTGGGTTCCTGGGTTCATGAGTTCATGGGTTCATGGGTTCCTATGTGCTTAAGTTCCTGAGCTTCCTGGGTTTCCTAGGTTCCTAGTTTCCTGGATTCCTAGGTTCCTGGGGTCCTAGGTTCTCAGGTTCCTGGGTTTCTGGGTTCCTAGGTTTCGAGATTCCTAGGTTCCTAGGTTCATGGGTTCCAAGGTTTCTGGATTCCTAGGTTCCCAGGTAGTAGCAAGAGCCTTCAGAAGCCTTCCCTGCAGCCTTCCGCCTCCGCACGAGCAAGTCTGACTCGGGCTGAAGGTGGCGACGACGACAGCGACGACAACGGCGACGACAGCCGCGGCTCGATGCTAGCGTCTTCCGCAGACAGACCTCCGAAGGCCTCTGGAACTCCGAGAGCCCCGAAGGCGTTCGA